AACCGAATCTCACCTCCTAATAAAATAATTACCTACTTTTAAATTAGTCCTATCTTTTTATATTTATCTTTATTAAAACACCCTACAATAAATATAAAGCTATCATCAATAGGGACACTTTTGAAAAAAAAGGCAATGATTACACCTCGAAAGACTAAAAATACCTTATATTTTTTAAATATCCAACTTTTCAAAAAATGTCTTATATTTTTGAACGAAGGGAGTATTAAGTATTAATTTTTGTGATGATTATATTTAAAATGATCCCAAATTAATTTGATTTCAAAATCAATTATCACTGATCATATATATTTTGTAAATCATAAATGAAATTAATACTTTTAAACCATGCAATACTAAATATGTAAATCATTGATGATATACATTTTTGTAAGTAAAAAATTTACACTTTACTATTTTTAAACCTATAATTGTGCATTAAATATTTAAATAGATAGGATATTAATTTGACTTTAAATAAATACATATCTATACTTTACTTTTATATGATACAAAATTTTGAAATCATGAGAATAGATCTAAACATTTAAACATAAATTTTTTAAAATATTTAAAATAAATAGATATTAATTTAAATTTGAATTCAAATAGATAAAAATATATATACTCAATCATATGAACCTTGATTTTTGAAAAAATATTTAGGATAGATGAAAATTTTTTAGAATCATGATGACAGATGAGAAATTTTAAACTAATTTGAATTCAAATCTAATCACGTTTGAATTTCAAAAGTAAAAATAAATTTTTATATTTATATAAAAATTAATAATCCATCTCACACCTAACTCCAAATTTGAATAATATATTTTATATACATTTAAAAATAGTAATCCATTTCAAACCTAACCCTAAATCTGACTCTAGAGCATAGAATCATAAAAAAGTATCTCGAAGTATAGAATTGCGGCAAACCTAAAAATAAACACGTTACATTTTCTCGTGGCCTTTAACTCTACTTATATATATATATATAATGATAACTATTTTATTTAAAAGTAAGATTTAATTAAAAATATTTATATTTTTAAATAAAGAGAGTAATTGAATAATGTTGATTAAGATGTCTGGATACAAGATCTTCTAAAAAAATTATTAATATATATAGATAAGTGCTTTGTCTTTGGCAACTAGTGTGGCTTACTTTGTGAAACACTAGCTGCCAAAAGAAGCTTATATATTTTCTCAACGCCACAAAAAGGCTATGTATTTGTGTGTGTAAATTTTCTCAATTCCACAAGAAACGTATCTAAGTTTTGAGAAAGTAAATTTTTAAAAATATAAGATATTTTTAATATTTTAAGGTATAATTATTGTATTTTTTTAAGTGCTCATGATGAATAAATTATTTTATATTTATTTTAGAATAAAACACGTTATTAAATAAGGATAAATATAAAAAAATAGTGTTAGTTTAAATATAAGTAATTACTTTAGTCAATTAAAAATATTTTATATTTTAAATGGATCTGAATAATATTAACTAATATGCTGGCTACAAAATCTTCTCAAAAAACTACACACACACACACATCCATGTATGCATGCATATATGTATGTATGTAAGTATATATATGTTGTGTGTGTGTGTGTGCATATAGATAAGTGCTCTGTCTTTGGCAGCTAGTATTGGCTTACACTTTGAAACACTAGCTACCAAAGGAAGCCTAAACCTTTTTTGTTTATATAGGATGTAGATATGTGTGTGTAATTTTTCTCAATTTACTACTACAAAATATATTTTTAGAAGTGCCCGTTTAGGAATGCTTATAAAGAAAAGCACTCCTATTGTTAGATGCAAAAGATAGCAGAGCGCTTTATGATTAAAGAGCTCCAAAAAATAAAATGTATGAGTTTTTTTTGTATAAGTGCTCCTATATGTTTCAATAAAAAACTAAAAAAATTTAAAAGTCAGCTTTAGAAGCACTTAACAAATAAGCGCTCCTATAGGTTGTATTAAAAAAATAAATTTAATTGTTTAGAGCACTCCAATATGTTATATTAAAATAATTGAAAAAAATAAAGGTCACTTTTAGGAGTGCTTATGCAATAAGCACTCCTAGATGTATATTAGGAAATAAAAAAATAATAACTTTTAAAAGCACTCCTAGATATATATAGGAGTGCTTTTAAAGCACTCTTGGCTAGATATGAGAGCGCTTCCAAAGCGCTCCCGTTGGCCAAAATTAAGTGCTCCTATGAGCTTTCTATAGTAGTGATTTTATGAGAAATAAATTGAGTTTTGATCAACTTCTTTGAGGAGGTGAATATTTAAAAATATGAGGTATTTTTAGTATGTCAAAATATAATTATTTTATTTTTTTAAAAAGTGTCTATAATGAAAAAATTACTTTATATTTATTTTAAGATAAAACACCCTAAAATATAATTATTTATTCTCCAATATTATCCAATTTATTGGGACAGCAAGATGTTTTAATCTCGTCCTGGTCTCATCTAGATTGCTAGTGGGACAATATAACTTTCAGGATAGGATGGAATACGGGACCAAAATTTAGTTTTGATTTTTTTTTTGAGATGAAACACAAGATAAGGGTGTCCTAGTCTCATCTTGTATCATGACCACTCCTATCTCTTGCATTACGTTCTGTCAAATGATACTCTACTTTTAATAACAATCATTTTAAAATAATATAAAAGTCAATCGACAACCTTACATCCTCCTGCAATTCTTCAGACCAATCCTCGTCATCATAAGCAACGTAATGTGGCATGTGGAAGCGAGAACATGAGAATTATTACTGTTAAAATGAGTCTAATATCTTATTATGAAAAGGATTAAAGCAAGCATTTGCTAAGGGACAATTGTTGTTTTTTTTCTAGGACCAACGAATATACTCGTATATTAAAATACCTTCATGTTAAAAGCGTGGTACTTGATTCCCATAATTAGTCAATTATACATTCTGCTTCCTAACTAAAGTAATGAAACGTATATTTGCATTTGGTGAATAGTCTGAGAACACTTATTCAACATGGTGAGTGTCTCAATCACAACAATTGAATTCTATCAATATTTAAAATTAACAAGTTACATTTCCCTTTCAAAAATATAATACAATACTACTAGCCGTTAAAAAATTTGAAATTTGGTACTTTCCAAATATTATAGGCCAAAACCTCTAATAACCATCTGATTAAATTAAATGATTATTATTATGTCATGTAAGGCACTTATTGATTACGTATAGTTAGGCCATTCACTGAATATAAATAGATAAAACATAGACATGAGAGTAGGCTATATAGAGAGAGAGAGAGTAAAATTGTCTAGCTAGGCCAGAACAGATTGGAGCTTCAATTTCTTTCATAAGGATCATCAGCTTAAGATTTTTTGGTTGTCCCAATCTAGCTGGAGATCCCAACATGCCCCCCAGGTTAAGTGCTGCATGTGTCATAATCTGCCTCATTTGTTTTCTCTTTTGAGTATTTTTTTTATTTTGTCTTCCTTTTGTTTTGTTGTTATTGAAGGGTTTCATATTCAGATTCTAGTCCTTCACTTCACACCATTTATGTGCATATAACCGGGCTGCTACTTGCTTTGGTTCAAATCAAGTACCAATGATTGAACACTACTCCCTTCAACCAACACCCTGCAATCATGATATGGTTTCTCATAGCAATTACTGTATGCATCATCATACTCATAATTCTAGGATTAGATCAACATTCGTCCAGTTTAAGAATGGCTTGGTGGATGTGCCAAGTTTCAAGAAGTGTTGCTTGTGAGCTACTTGTGCTGCTCCTCGTCTTTCCAATATGGTGCTTTGTCATCAACGTCTCTTCATTTGTGTTGGTTCTTACATTGCTTGCATTTTATAGTTATATGTTACAATGAGCCCATCTGGTGGGAATACCAATATTGTCAGACACTACTTAAAATATGGAGGGGCAAGCTACTTAAATCACAAACCTTAAAGATGATGCAATAACTCCCAATATAGATAGAAAAACGAACGGGCTTGACTTTTAAGAGCTTAGGGCTTGAAGCTTAATTTTTCAAATTTTAATTGAATCTTGAGGCCCCAACCCTTATTGAAAGGGCTCAAGGTTGGGTTTGGAAGCTCAATTTCAAAAAATAAAATTATAACTTAATGTTGTTTTTAAAAATAATTTAATTCAACATCATAATATTTAATAATATAATTTAACTTTAAAATTCAATATAAACTAAATTAAGGTGCCACATCATCTAAAAAATAAATAAAAGTTTAAATACATGTTAGTTGATGCCATCATAATTCACAACAAATTTTGAAAAACAAAATAAATGAGACACATCGATATAATCCTTGAATAATAAGATGAGGGATCAAAAT